TTGGCTCGGTCTTTCGGCACTTGCCTCTCCCTCCACTCTCATTGGCTCGGTCTTTCGGCACTTGCCTCTCCCTCCACTCTCATTGGCTCGGTCTTAGTTGGGGGCCCAGCGCCTCCGATTCTACAGAAACAAGGTTACAGGCTCCGTACCTGTTTCCCCTTCCCGAGGCTTCAAACTGTGCACTTCTTTCTGCATGATCAGAACTCAGGGCCTCACCAGCCACCTCGGAAATGAAAATCACGTGGATGGAGAATTCAAAAAATAGAAACTCTCTTTCTCTGAGGTCCCCACAGAGCAGATAAGGGGGCGAGCTGAGTCTGGACTATGGTTATAGTTGTTACAGGAGGGGGTGGCTCTGGGGAGGCGCTGGACACCCTGGGAGGGATCTGAGGAAGGTGGCTTTGCTTCCAAAGTGAAATCTTGATCGTGCGACCAAAGGTGACCCCAGCCCTGGGAGCCTCTTCACATCTCTCTGTAATGCAGCTCCGGAGAAGACGGTGGGGGAGTGGGGGGTTGGGTGGGGGGGGGGGGGGGGTTTGGAGCTGAGGCCTTGCCGGGTCCCCTTACCCATCCTGAAGTGGACAGTGGGTCGGGAAGTGATTGCAAATTGCAGACAGGCTTTTCGCTCATTAGGCACAGGCATGGATGACGCGTGATGAATGTAATTGTCACATTCATGCAGAGAAAGAGTCACCTCTTGCTCAGTTGCTGTCCCCACGAGCAATGGGCCATTGTTCCCAAGTCCTATAGCCTCAACAAAAGTGTATTTATGTCTGTCCTGTTTCCTCTAGGAGTCCCTTATACGCCCTATAGGAAGAAAAAAAAAGTCACGTTGAGCCAAACACGTAACTGAGGTGAGGAGGACAGGAAGTGCTCCCAGATTTGGAAGGAAACTTCCTGAAAATCAGACAAGAGCAAAGAAAGCCTGGGGTTTCAGCTGTCGTCTGTCTCCGGCCTTCTGAGGGCCCCTGGAGGAGCGCATGTCCCCTCTCTGCCCGGGGAGCGTCATCCGCAGCAAATGTTAAAAGGGGGTTAAGTCATGGGGGGTGGTAGGAGGCCTTAGAGAAAGGTCACCGGGAGCCTGGGTAGGAATTTGGAGTCAGCTGTGAAGCCAGAACGCTGCAGGCTGTCACTGGGGACCACCGCAACTTTCTCTGCGTGTGGTCAAGGGCCAAGGCTCTGGCGCATGGGGAGTTTCTAGAAGTTCTTTGGGGCGGGGAAGAGGGGGCAGAGTAGAGCTAGAATGTCCGAAGTCAACTTGAATCCTAGCTATCAGAGACTATATCCCCATCTACACACACACACACACACACATTGTGCATGTGGTCCAGAAAGGGACTTCCAATTGCCAGGATCTGGAGTTACAGGGCATTGTGAATCGATGAGCATGGGTGTTGGGAATAAAACTCAGGTCCTCTGCAAGAGCAGCAAGTGTGCCAAACCACTGAGTCCTCTCTCTAAGCATCTGATTGTGAGATCTGAAATAAGCTGTAGTGCATTGATGCCGTAGTCTATTTTGTCTTAGAAAACGTGTACTTATGACAGAATGAGGAAACTAATGATGAATTTGAAGTCATCAATGTCTTTTTTTTTAATTTTTAATTTTTCGAGATAGGATTTCTTTGTACACAGTCTTGGCTGTCCTGGAACTCACTCTGTAGACCAGGCTGGCCTCGAACTCACAGAGATCCACCTGCCTCTGCCTTCTGAGTGCTGGGATTAAAGGTGTGCGCCACTACTGCCCGGCGTAATCAATGTCTTAAGTTACTAATTTCTTTTTTTCTAATAATTTTTATTTTAGGTGCATTAGTGTTTTGCCTGCATGCATGTCTGTGTGAGGGTGTCGGATCCCCCGGAACTGGAGTCACAGACAGTTGTGACCCATCATGTGGGTTCTGGGGATTGAACCCGGGTCTTTTGGAAGAGTGAGTATAGCTAGTGCTCTCAACCGCTGAGCCATCTCTCCAGCCCTGACCTTGGAATCTATAAAAGCTATCCTTGAGTATGGATCGATGACCTTGCCAACTCGATAGATTCGGATCTATACCGTGTATTGCTTGGTCAACCATACAGACTGCTCAGTCTCTGTGGGTCCTGGATCCCTTAAGAGAATTTTGACTCAGATTTTTCCATCTCCTGCCTGAGAAACAAAGACACAGGGTCAGCAGTTGATTCCTCGTGTGAGGTCCTTCCCATTTGACTCTAAAATAACCATTCTCGGTTGTGTTGAATGCATACAATACTGTTAACCTTTGTTTTTTCTTCAAGGCAAGGTCCCACGTAGCCCACACTGGTCTTGAACTCAGATTATAGTTGGGGATGAGCTTGAATTCACAACCCTCTTACCTCGCCTCCTCAGTGCTGGGATTGCAGGTGTGGGCCAGCTACAGCTTGCCACGCTGACTGCCTCTAAGTATGGGGCTCACTGCTAATCACTAGTTCTTAGTGCCGTGCAGCCGCCGCTGCCCTCCCTCCCCAAAGCTCTCCATCTTCTGAGCATCTGTACCCACCAAACAACCGCTCCCCATCCCGTCCGCTCCGCGCCCTGGCACCCACTCTTCTATTCCTTTAGGTCCGTACTCGTTTGCAGTGATTTGTCTTTTGTGAAAGCTTGATTTCAGACAGAATGATGTTGTCACACCTCATCCATTTATTACCTCCTTTTCAAGGCTATGTCCTATTCCACTGCATAGACAAACTGCAGGCAATAATCCATCAATAGGTATTTGGGGTGCTTTTGCTTCTTGGCTACGATGAACACAAATAAGCAAATCTCTCTTTAAGACCTTGCTTTCCAGTCTGTCCGGTGTATGTCCAGAATGGGAGTTCCTGGATCACATGGTACTTTAATCTACAACATTTGAGGGGACTGTACACTTGTGCCCATGGCCGGTGTATTATAGCCCCACCAGCAATGTGCAAGGGGCTGGCTGAGATTTCTGCACATCAACACGTATTCTCCGCTTTTTAAAACAGGAGAAATTGACGATGTTTCAACATTTCTGAACTTGTTCTGAAGTTCTGAGCCTCAGGATACTATGGAATGTTTGTAGGATTCACTCTTTACCCCACCTCAGACCAAGTGGGACCCAAGAGGCTGGGGTGTAGCCTTTTGACAAGCACGGGTGTGTGCTGATGCTTGTAACCATGGGAAAGCCTCCTGCAGGTAGGATTACAGGCATACTGACGGCAGCAGGATGATGATGATGATGATGATGATGATGATGATGATGATGTGTGTGTGTGTGTGTGTGTGTGTGAGAGAGAGAGAGAGACAGAGACAGAGACAGAGACAGAGACAGAGACACACGCAGTAACCAGAGACTCCAAGCCACACTCTCAAGGACTATGATGCCATCTTGAGACACAATGGCAAACAAATCAGTTATGTATCTGTCATTTCCAGCCTGAAGTCTTTCCAGTCGTGGACCTGTGTAAAAATTCAAGATCTGGAAATGAGACATTTTTAACTAAGGAAATGCTCTTCAAAACTTAGATTTTTACCAGCGACCTCCAACAAAATGCCCTATTATCAGCTTCCTACAGATCTCTTGAGAGCCACCCTGAGGCATTATTACGGAAGCAATCCTCCCCAGGGCCACTTCCCTGGCTGCGCCCCTCCATGAAGGGTGAGTCATGTCTTTTGTCCTGTGCCTGGAATTTGGGGATGTTTATGAAAAGTTGTTGTAAATAGTAGTCATAATTCTTCTCTTCACAGATTTTTTTTTATTTGAGAAATGAGTACCTCATCACGTACAAACGTCACATCACTTCCAGCCCCATTGTCACCTGGGAATAGTCTCTCTGCTGCTTCATCAGAACAGTGTGTCATAGACACCCTCTGGAGAACATGGTTTTGGATTGCCACCAACAGTGTGGAAATGTCCAGACCTCTCATCAGTGTCTTCCCTTGCCATCTCAGGTCCGATGCAGAGGTTCCCACAGCAAGGGAAAAGCACACAAATCCATTGGATAAACACTTGCTGTGATCGGAAGACTTCATAAGGGAATGAAGACCCAAGGAAAAGAGTTGACCTGTGTGTTTTCAATGCTAGGGCTTTTATTGTCTTGTCTGTTGTTATTTGTTATCTCACTGTGTAACCCTGGCTAGCCCAGAGCTCTCTGTCGTAGACCAGGCTGGCCTCAAACTCATGGAGACCCTCCTGCTTCTGCCTATCAAGTGTTAGGACTAAAGGCATGCTCCGACCTCTTTTCTTTTTATTAAAGATAATAAAATAGATTTTTAAAAGAATCGTTTATTTTTTGAAATTATAATACAATTACATTATTTTCCCATCTCTTCCCTCTCTTCAGCCTCTCCCATGCACTCCCTATGCTCTCTCTCAAATTCATGCTCTTTTTTCTTTAATTGTTGTTGCATACATACATATATACATATACACATACATTCCTAAATACCCAAACACAAAAATACAACCTGTTCGGTCCTTATAATATTACTTGTATGTATAGATCTCAGAGCTGACCACGTGGTCTTAGATAACCAGTTGGGGGCTCTACCTTGAGGACGATAATTTCCCCTACAGACAGCATTCCCCAGGTGCCCCCAGTTCATTGCTGGGGTTGAGGTCCCTCAAGTTTTCCCTTTCCGGGTTAGCATGTCCCTTGGTGTCATCATTGTTCAGGTCTTGTTCCGGCAGCCATGTTGAGGAGACTTCGTGAATGTAGCTTGTCTGACACCCAGAGAACACGAGATTGTGTTATCCCAATCCCAGCCGACAACACAATTCCTGCACCCAAGGCTCAGGGGTCATCTCAGAAGAGGAAGAGGAAAGGCTGTAAGAGCCAGAGGAACAGGCCATTTGCTGTGAGATGGTGTCTTCTAGAAACGTCAGATAACGCGGGCTTCTTCATGCGTGGGAAGCCATGCTGACTGGCTCAGGGGTCCCTGCAAGGGAGTCTTGTAGCCAGAGAGAGGAGGTGTGCTCAACTCTTTTCTGGTTTGGTTAGATGAAGAAGGAGGTTGTCGTGGGGATATGTGATTGGATAACAAAGCGCCATCTCATGTCAATAAGGCAGGCTATCAAAACCTGTTTACTCAGAATCTTCTCTGTGACCTTGTGACTCCAGAAACTCCTATTCTTTTCAGTATGCGTAAGAATTGTACCTCTCGGGGCAGTCAGAGGACCCTCCCTGGTTTGTTAGTTGGTTGTTGCTTAGGAACGAACCCCGGGGCCTCAAGGTTCCTAAGACTGTGCGTTCCTAAGGCTCGACAGCCCTTTTCCTGGGTTTGATCCCCTGTCGGAAGGGAAGTGACAATGGCATTTCTGCTTTCACCGTCTTGCACACCAGAGTGCCATATTGTGAAGTGGTACGTCTTGAGCCCATCATTACCAACTCTGACTTTTGAGGGGGAATCTGGATGTTGGAAGCAAATGTTACCGAAAAGGAAAGTATTTTCAGTGTGAGCTCCTTGGGTCTGGCTAGAACATCTGTTCCCTTGAATTCCCAAAACAAGTGGGAGTAACTGATATGTGCATCTTGGGGACAGTCGCCAGAGGACAATCAGACCTTATTTCCAAACCAAGTGGCATTAGCATGAGACTTCTGAACTTGGTTTGGTTTTTGAGACAGGATCTCACTTTGCAGCCCAGGCTGGCCTGGAATTCCATATACTCCTGCCATGTGTGAGGCCATGGGTCCAGTCCCCAGGACCACAGACAAACCCCAAACCAGAGGTCACAAAAAAATGATTTTTAAAAATGTGTGCCTTTAGTAGTTCGAGTACACATTAAAATGTTTTTCTAAGAAAGTATAAACATTGGTCACTTTGTAAAGATTTGATGCAAGTGAACTGGTCTTTGGGTAGTGTGTGTGTGTGTGTGTGTGTGTGTGTGTGTGTGTGTGTGTGTGTGTGTGTGTGCTTTTACCGTTTAACAAGATGGGAAGAAAAGCAGGCTGCCAGAGCTTCAATTCACTTCTCGCAGACCCCTCCAGGCAGCCTGAACCTGAGGGCAGCAACATCCCAGCCTTTCATGGTGTCCCCAGCACCTGGACTGCTGTTAGGAGGATAATTCTGGCTTCCGGCCCTACTGACAAAGCTGTGTGGCCAGTGTGTCCTCTGGCTCTTTCTCTCCCAGCGGGACTCTGAAGAATGTTCACCTCACTGAAACAACGAATTGTGAGAAGCAGACCTGTGTTCCGTTCACTTTGGCCGCAGAGCAGAGAAAATCCACTCACTCCACCAGCGGTTTGTTGGGCTCTGCTGGGAACCACACTCCCACTCTGCCAGCTCAAGTGTGTATTCTCCTTTCATGGGGTCACAGAGCCAAGCCAGGCTTGGAGTAAATGACCGTCACACTAAAGGGCTTCCGCCGTGGAGAGAAGCCCGTGCTGGACATCAGCTTTCCAGAGTGCCCCAGAGGAGATGGCAGAATGTTGCCTTCTTGACATCCGCTTCCCTTATCTCCCAGTAGCCCTGGCTCTGTCTACTGTTTTCTTTTACCAAAAGCATTAGTTAAAATCTATCAGGAATAGCAGGCCCCTTTGATCTAGTAGCTGCATACAGAATCAGTGAGTTAAAGATCAGTCATGACACTCTGTGGAGACGTCGTCAAACACAGACTGCCAGGGTGAGCACGCACCTTTCTACAGGACTCCT